GCACTTAGGAACAGTCACAGAAAAAGGATGAGACTTAATTGAATGGCGAGTAACACGAGAATGAATTTTAGTAGATGGCACAAGGGACGCTAGCTCTTTAGAGCAGTGCCCATTATAGTATTTGTAGAAAAGAGAAAGAGAAGCAACATTACGACGATGTGAAAAAGGTTGGAGATTGGCTGCCAGAGCAGGTCCAACTATGTTTACAATTCGTTTTTGCACCTTGTCTAAAAGAGAAAGAGCATCATTAGAAGATCCGCCCCAGATGTGGCAACAGTATTCCATACAGGGACGGATTTGAGATTTATAGAGATAGAGAATAGAATCTGGAGTAAGAAAGTGTCGAGCTCGATAAAGAGATGCAACCTTAGCAGATGCTAATTTTGCAATGGATTTGATATACGGTTTAAAAGAAAGATCAGAAGTAAGAGTTAATCCTAGAAGATGAATGGTAGATGACTCATCTAGTACATTACCATTCATAAATATAGGAAGATCTAAATTATTACGATAACGATTGTCCGAATAAAATTGAGTTTTATCTGAATTAAAGTTCACCAGCCACTGTGAGCCCCATGCTGTAGCAGAAGTGAGATCCTTTTCAAGCTCAGATACCCTCTCCAAGCAATCAGAGAGTGTAGGCTTCTTATCATGACAAGAGTAAATGGTAGTGTTGTCAGCGAATAATGCCACCTTAGATGTGAGAATATCTGGAAGATCGTTAATGTAAATTAAAAAGAGTATAGGGCCAAGGATTGAACCTTGAGGAACCCCTGAAGTTACAGGATGTGAAGAAGAGTGTTGTCCATCGAGGACAACTTTTATACTACGATTGGAAAGAAAGGACTCAATAATCTTAAAGACGTTACCAGCTACACCATAAGAAGAAAGCTTATGGAGAAGACCAGCATGCCAAACTTTATCAAAAGCTTTAGAAATGTCAAGTGCGATAGCCTTAACCTCTCCACCTCTATCTAATGCACGGTAAAACCTATCGGTTATTACTGTTAGCACATCAGCTGTAGAACGAGAAGACCGAAATCCATATTGATGATCAGAAAGTAAGTTATTTGATTCAAGATGAGAGATTAAGTGTTTGTTGATTAAAGATTCAAAAACCTTGCTTATGACAGGAAGAAGACTAATGGGACGGTAGTTAGATGAATCAGATCGCTCTCCGGAATTTTTGAAAATAGGGATAACAGATATGTTAATATCGCAACCACACTTTGATAACCGTGGGCTCATTATCAAGCTGAAGTGTTACAACTTAAATTATTGTTAAAAATTTGATGTTATATCTTTCTTATCTTTAATATAATATATTAACTATATAATACATTATTTATCTTTAATATAATACATTAAAATATTGTTTTTTAATCAAGTGTGTATTTAAAATAATTAATATTGATATATGTTGTTTATGATAGCCACAATCAATTTATTTCCCAAAATACAATCCAAAAATGACTAATATTATGCATGTTCCTATCGTTACTTTTTTTTTATCTGTGCGTGATTTTGGTTTAAACTACTATTTTGGGGCAAAGATACATCATAGAATGCTGTAACTTTGTAATAATATATATATATATATATATATATATATATATATATATATATATATATATATATATATATATATATATATATATATATATATATATATATATATAAGCAGAAAGCAACCCATTATACAGGTTGTGGTCATTCTGCTACATAATTAGTTTATAGTGGGTTTAAGCGAGCTGTTTTCCACAATTAAATTTAAAGTGGCAAAACCTTAACTTATACCCTTTTAGAAAAACGCCTTTGAATTGAAAGTGTTATACCATCAGTAAAATTAATATTAAAAGTATGAGGTAAAATTATTTACTAGGTAATATCTATCATTATTTGAATAATTTACAACTGATTTAGGTCATATCAGTTTGAGGCAGGAACATTTTGCTTAACATTCCTAATGTTCAGCACAATAAGTTTTTAGTTACTGACACAAAATAACAACACTTCATCATGCTTTAAATTGATGGAAATATCAACTAACTTCTTTTAATAATTGTTATAATAATTAATTAATTATTAAAATTAATATGAATTTAACTTATGTTATAGAGGACTTATTAATTTTTTGGTATCCACTTGCAAAATTTTCTTTAAAAAAGAAAATTGTTATCTTAAAAATTTTAAATGCACACAACTAAATAAATTTATTAAAGATAACTAAGTTTATTATAAATAACTAAGCAATTGATGAGAAATACGTTTTAAACAAAAAAAATTTTAATTGACAATCAAACATGCATAACAAATTAAAGAAAATATGTAAACTTTGATCTTTTATATTGCATTAATGTGTCATATGACAAACCTAAAATAAAAATTGTAACAGATAAGTAGATATAAAAGAAAAAAATTGAAAACAATTTATCTGCTTTAATAACCTGTTTTGTTACTGCAGTTGCTGTCGCGATGCAGTAGTTCTTGTTGGTGTTGTTCAATGATGTTATTTTATGTTGGCTTTTAGTAAACTTTATTTAACTTTAAAAGACATTACAATGGGTTTAAAATATTATTAGTTAAAATCAAAATATAAAATGCTTCAAGGATGCCAAGCTATAAACATTAAAGATAAAAAATCCAATTGAGATATAAATAAATTGTATTTATATAGCTAAATATATTGTCTTAGCTTTAAGTAAATTTTAAAAGCAGCAAGTTTAATAAATGAAACTACCAATTGATTATTTTTAACAATAGAATGCAGCATTACTATATTATGATAATATGATAATGAATCAATTTAACTATATTTTGAAGTTTAGATTTAATTGGTGAAAAAACAATTAAAATTTTAATTAAAAAAGATCAAATATACAACATAATATATAAATTAAAAAAAAAAAAAAAAAATTAAAAAAAAAAAACACCAAAGAAAAAGCAGCAATAAAAAAGTCATAAATACCCTCACTGATAAGAGGCATTTGCAACCTTTTAGGCTGCTATTTTGTCTTTAGTGTCTCCCAACACCTGGGTATGGATGAACCTCCATTTGAAGGAGGGTTCATCCACACCGCTATTGCTACACCTCTTATTGAAGGACCTCTCTGAGAGAGGCCCTGGGTGTTTGGATCAATAAGCCTGAAAGCTTTCAAATGTTAATGAATCTAAAATTACAAATAGAAGAACCATTGGATCTAAGTTGGCAGACATACTTGATATAGTTTGAAGAGGATGAACAAATACAATTGCGACTTCATTATGTGAAGGGAGATTATAGCGACGTCTATCTTGCCCTTTAAGTAAAGACATTCTTACAACTGAGACTGAGCAACCTTCTACAGCTGCTTAACAAATTTCTTTATCTTCCACTTCAGCCATGTTTTTAAATGCAAGAGCAAATGGGTCCACTTCACTAATAATAGTTTTGCAATTGAAACATTAAATCATTTAAGCAAAGATCATTACCAAGTTGATGCATTTTAAAATTTACTACTGCAAGTGGATCTTAGATGTATAGTTGACAATTTGTCGGCAAACATCATGATCTGGCCTAAGATTACCTTTACGATGAAAAACTTGAGCACATATTCTAAAACATGGTGGCCTATGATTCACGGTTTGAACTACATTAGCTGTAAATGAAGCAACAGAAAGACAGGCATTATAATTTCGAATATATTTAAAAAAGTTCAGATTGGCATTTTGATCTGCTATGATAATTTTCTTTAAATAAATCTTGTAAATTTTCTGGAAATGGTGAAAGTTGTGACAAACTTACCTTTATATACCCAAATTTAATTCATTTCTCCTAAATAATTATAATCTGGAATAGTATTACTTCTTGCTATACAATGCATTCTTTCATGTTTAGCAGCATATCTATCTTTTGTTGACTATTAATTTCATTTCGCCTAAGCCTTTCTGTAACGATTATTTTCAACTTGTCCAACCATTCTCTCCCCATTTGGGTTCAAATTACTCGCTGCTTGCTGAGCGGCATATCTAGCATTTTGTTGACTATCAATTTCATTTCTCCTAAGCCTATTTCTTGCATTTCTGTGATGATTAACTTGCCTATTAACATTTCCATCTTCTAAACTAATATCTGCTTCTAGCTTAATATCATTCATTTAAACTTCACTTTTAATTGACAGTAGTAACAAAAAATCTTAAAAGAATCTTGAAATTGTCATCTTTTCTATAAATTTTTTTATTACTACTCTAAATTGCACACACAAATAATTTTTATAAGAAATTGTCATTTAAAAATAAATTATACAATAATCTTATGACTTTAAAAAAAAAGCGTATCAGCTAGGAGGCGTTTAAACAAAAAATTAACTTCTAAATTTTTTTTTATTTAGATTTAAAAAAATAATATAAATAAAAAAAAATTAGCAAAATAATAATTAAAAAAATTGTTAAAAACCTGCAATTCTAATAATAAACATACTGCTAATACAGAAAAATAAAAATAAAAAAAGTGTTGTAAACCCCTTTTTTGTAAACTTCAATATTATTTCTTTAAAAAAATTATTAATAAATGTTTTTAAAATATTCACAAAAATTTACAATATATATATATATATATATATATATATATATATATATATATATATATATATATATATATATATATATATATATATATATATATATATTATTGCTCTGTTCTTTAAGAACATTAAACACTTTAGAATACACTAACTTAATTTACATATATATACAAGTATGTATGAATGTATATAATATTAGTTGTATGGTATTATATTTAACATCATTATCTTCTTATAATTATCTTGTATTAATAATTATTTTATAGCATTATATAATGATCATTTATTAATAAACTTATTTTGCAGTATTATTGTCTAAATATTGTTTTATCAAAATGTGTTTACACATTTTCATAAAACATAGTTTCAATAAATAAGTTATATTAGGCAGTTATCCTTTTTGAAAGTTAAGTTGTATTTTCTGATTAAAAACTTTAGATTCTTCCATTTTATTCTACTTCATTGAATGTATTAGAAGAAAAGCAAGTAGAGGAGTTCAATCAGGAAAAACCCTCAGAACCTCTTGCAGAGGTATACTGCTTAAATTTTCTTTTAACATATTATTTGTAGAAGAATTATTTATTGTTTAATTTCAAAGAAAAAATAGTTTTAATTTTGTTTGTGCAGCTTTTTCATGAATATTCATCTTTGGAAAACTTTTGGAAAAGATACAATAAAGTAGGTTTTTCTGTTTTTAAGTTTTATATCTACTTAACTACAAGCTTGCCTGGATCCGACCCAAAAACCTTAGACTTGTCCTGTGTGTTCCGTTGCGTGTAAATGATTTGATACAATTTCTCAATTTGATAAGACATAGGCCATAAAAATAAATGTGAATTATGGGCATTTTGTCAATTTATTTTCATAGTTGTTGCATTCTATATACATGTTTTAAATAAATTTGATTTATTTTTGTCTTTTAGCTTAAGTCTATAAAGCTTCTTAATTTTTGTTTTATATTCTATTCCATTATTATATTTTATCATACTGCCTATAATTATGATAAAATATGCAAAATAACTTCTAAATACTCTTAAAACGTTTAGATATCATATATATTTTTGACCAATTCAGATCAAGACTAATTTAGGTTTAAAAAAAATTATACAAGATTACTTTATTAATGCTGTAATGAAACTTGATCTAATTGTACATTAGGGTGTCCCAAAAATATAAAGAAAAAAAAATTGTACACATCAAATTCTTTGTCTATATACTTATAGAAGACCGCTAGTATTGAAAAAAGATTTATTAGACCACTCTAAGTGCTTACTGTAGAAATTAAAAATCGGATATTATTAAGTGTTCTGAGTTTTTCTTAACTTAAATATTTCGGCTGCATCTAAATGAAAACTTACTCTTTTAACAAATCTAATAGCTGTTGTTTTTCATAATTTAAAAAACATTTGTAATCTTTTTTTTTTTTTTTAAACTGTATTAGGATATTGGTGGTAACTGATTAACTAGTAGTATATTAACAAACTTTTCTTGATCACTGTTCCAAATATTAGGAAATTTTAAAAACAATATGTATTACTGTGTTTTTAAAACACCGATAATTTGGGTACTTTTTTTTTTTTTTTTTTTTTTTTTTACTAACAGGTATTTTTAAATTATTATATACCAATATACCAACTTTATCTTATTTGACTTTAAAATATCGACTTTTAAATTATATAAACTTTGAAAGCGGCAATCTTGATTACCTTTTTAAAAAATGTAAACAAACTTAAACCAATCATTTTTTTCTGATTAAAAAAACAACTAATCAAATTGTTACTTATGCCAAAAGAATTCTGAGTTTTGCGTAATTTAGATTTTAAAAAATGTAAAAAAATAAATACTTAAAACAAATTCTTATCGCAAATGAGGAAAAGAAACATCACTAAAATAAAAAAGTCGAACTACAATGTTAACTTTAACCTGCGACGACTGGTTTACCTTCTCAGAAGTCCAATTTGTGTTTTTCATCAACATCAACTTCCAACAAATGGAACAGTTCAACGATATTATCAGTATGTTATTACAGAGAAAAGTTAAAGGTTCAAGTCTAACCAAGAAAATTTTTCATGCAAAACAAAGAGCAGGAGTAGGGATATAGTTTGCCTTGACAAAGATTTCTTTTATGAAAATATGGATATATGCTGCCTAAGAAAAATTGTTAATGTATGGAAATATGCTGGCTTTGGAAACTATATAATTTCTGAAGTACAAATTGTGTAAAAGTTTATTAAACTAAATAAATTGTACATTTCAATGCGAAATACAAGGTATTTAACAAAAAAAAAATACAAAAATCAGTTTGAAGAATTTCTTGAAAATTTGTTTGATATTTCTCAAAAAAATATAGAAGCAAAAATAAAATCAGCTGGAACTAGATAGCAGGTTTTACATCTTGGTGCTAGCAGCTAAAGATTATGCGAAGTATTCGTTGTAGAATAAAATTTTTCCAAGAAATGACTATAATCACCTTGTAAAATATTTGGCTTTTTATCTTGGCGTCGAGTCTAATAAGCTTAATAAATTTAAAATTCATCAACCTGGAGCTTGTCATGAAGCAAGATTTATTGCTGATGCTTTGTATATTCTTACACTAGAAATGACATTATTATAACCACTATTATAACCTTTTTACCTGATGAAAATAAAAATGAAATTGTAACATGCACCTTTCTTGTTGCTGTTTGTTATGTTCCATGGTACCTCAAGTCTAGAAGCGCTCAACATGCTTTACTTAATGATTTTAATGCATTTAAAGCAGCATATGTTATCAAGGATGAATTTAATGCCGATGTTGGCAATGCTTTGATTAAAAGTTTTCATAAACATTCATGGTATCTTTCTCCAGCAGTAGTTACTTTTTCACTAGTTGACTCTCACTTGGAAATGTTTATCAAGTATGAGATTTTGAAGTTATTAATTTCCTTTCCAGATCCAGAGCTAGAAAAAATAAATATGGAAAAACCTAATCCTGTTTTAATCTTACCAAACAGCAAGCTTTCAGATCTTGTTACTGCTGATAGCTGGCTTATATTTATACGCCTAGGAATCATAAATTAAGTCAAAGATTGGATATATTCTCATCCCAACTTCTCGAAAACTGAATCATATAGTGTTTTTGAAAATTTTGTCAAAGGACTTAGTGTAACTAACGACTACGCTGCAAGGAACATTGGATCAATAAATGATTTTTTTAAATATTCTCAAAAAGAAGAACAGTGTCAAAATATACTATTGATAGCGAGAGAGGAGAGAAAAAAAGTAACAAAGAAAGTAACTCAAAACAAACTTATGAAAATTTAAAGTTTTCTATATGGTAATATATAATTAGATATATTTGTGAATTAATAGAATTATACTGTCAGTTAATGATAATAATGAGATTATTTATGAATAAAAATTAGACTGTCAGTTATTTAATTTTGATATTTTCTAGCTAAAAAAGGAAGATTTAGGAATTTTACAGTAAGCACTTAAAATGATCGAAGTGCAGTTTTTTACTATGTATTTATCTTCTACCTTTATATAGACAAGGAATTTTGGGTGTACAAACGAAGTTTAGAAAAAAAAGGTTTTTCTATATATTTTTGAGACACCCTATTGTACATGAAATGTGTACTTTTTACTCAATATTTTAAACTTTTGACCTTATTGTAGTATAAATTTTAAACCTTATTGTGATATAATTTTTTAAAACTATGTTTAGGTGCTACTTGACAAAATAGCTTTAAGTAATGAGAAAAATGCACTATGTCAAGAAAATCAACAACTGAAATCGCTATTAAAACAATATTTAGATGGTAAATTTTTTTTTTAATTCATGAAAGTTATTTAATTTTTTTTATAATTCATACATTGTTTGTTTGTTGACATTTTCCTCAAAAAACTGACAAAAAAGTTGATGTTTTCAACAACAAGTAGTTAGTTTTTTGTGTTGCTATACATTTCCTTAGCAACCAGTTATTTTTTTTTTAACTACTGCACAATTTAAATTTAAAAAAAGTATAGCAACAGTGAGTTTTAATTAATTGTAGCTATATAGATCACAAGTCTTCAGTGATAGAATAAAAATGTTTTCATACAATTAGAGTTAAAGAATACTTAGTAAAGTTTGTTATTTTATGAATAGAAAACAGTTTGGATATCTGAAAAAAAGATTTAAACAAATAATATACAAAAAATACTAGTACTATAAAATAACAAACTAAATGCAATCTTGAACATCAAAATATTGCAATAGCAGTTTACAAACATTCATAAAGATCTCTTTCAGTAGCTTAAGAAAACCATTTGGAAGATCTTTTTATGATGATGGAATGTTCTCTTATCAAAAGTTCAGAAAAGCTTATTTTCTAAATAAATTTTATGACCATAGATTTTAAGATGATCAAGATTTTTTTAACAGTTTTTTCTGCATTCTAAAAAAATCTATTTGCAGTATTTCCATTATTAGATGCCACTAAACATTTTATGATCATCTATTCAACAGGGTAAAAAAAATTTCAATACTGATAAAAAGACTCGCAATTACACCTAATATTTCTTAAAACAATCATATAAAAAAAGTATTAAGATTTATATCAAAATGGCAGATACAAAATGTCTAATTTGTGCTTGTTGTTTTATTTACTTTAGAAAAAGATCAAATAAACTTATTAATGCAATTCGTGCAATACAACTTTATATTCATTATTTATTTTACTTTATATTCATTACTTATTTTGGAGAGAATATTTTTCCAAAAAATATTTATACTTCTTGCTAAACAAATTTGTATGCATTAAACAGGGTTAAAACATCAAAATTAAATAATTGAATTAAGAAAATATCTCAGTTTATTAGATAAAAACTTTAAAACATCTGATATAGTGAAATATCTGAACAGATCTTAACAAATAATCAAGAAATTTCTGATAGAGTTATTAAAAATATACGTCCTTTCAGCTTTTCTTCAATAGGTATAATATCCTTAAACCAAGTAAAAGTATTTTATATCTTATGTAACATTGCAATATTAGTGGTAATCATATTTTACATCTTGATGGACATAGGTCTCACATCAGTTTAGCAGTTGTATTGCTATGTTGGGAAAACATAATTTTGATTTGTCTATCAGCCCACTCATCTCACGTTCTTCAGCCACTGGGCAGAGGTGTCTATTACCATGTTAAGCAAGTGTGGAAGGCAGTTCTTACCAAATATTGCAAAGATACATAATGCAAAAACTTGGATAAAGAAAATTTTTCTCTGTTGCTCAAACTGGTGTATAAGGGCAGAAAGTGATTTACACGTTTGCATGCTCTCGTTGGTTTTGAATATACTGGGTTATTTCTATTTAATAAAAACAAAATCAATCAACAGGCATTAGCTATCTCCAACCGACGTCCTTAATTTGCCAATTATCAACTATAAAGCCTTTAGCTTTATCTTCTGAACCAGCAACAACAGCTTCAAGGTTCGACAAGTACTGAGCACTACATAAGAGAATGAAAATTGAAATGGAAAATGAGCTAAAAAGTTTGTTTTTTTAAGAAAAAAATCAGTCTTGTATTAAAAAAACCGAGGTAACCTAATATTCCAAAAATAACTGGCCAATGTATTTCAGAACACTGTGTTCTCATAATGCCATTGCACAGTGGTCCATTACAATGTCATAAATACAAAAACATAGTTTTTTTTATAATAAAAACGATTTAAAAATTGAATTATATATAGTATGTGAAAATCAGATTTAAATTTTTAAGGTAAAAAAAAAATTGTCTAATGAGGGTTTGAAGTTCAAAAATTGACACAAAATTACATATTTTTTCGGGTAAAAATCAGTCTGCAAATTTTTATACATTCTCACTCCTACCAATGTCACAGATATATCAATTTTTTTAAATATTCTTACAAAATATGGAGGATCAATATAAAATAATTTAAAATATAAAATTTCATAAAAAAGACAATTTACCACATGTTTAACACTTTTTTCTTTTAAATTGTTTGAAAATAAAACTTTGAAATTTTGAAACCTTGAAATTTTTTGCATTTGAAAAAATGATGTTTATAGAAAATTTCTGAAAAAGTTTTGGCTGCTTTTGTTTGCTTTTGTGTCTATAGGGTCAGTTTAAACATGACATACTTAAACTAATATACGGCTCCCCCTCACACTCCCGATGTTTTTTAACAAGTTTCTACTGCAAATATGAATATTTTAGAATAACAGCGGAAAAGACGAATAAACAAAACAAGAAATATTCACAAATATTTACAGTAATTATTTAGTGCACTAAATACCTTTTACCGCTATAGTGGTGAAATTAAATTTAAATATGAAGACCAAAGTCATTTTTGATTACTTAATTAAAGGAAAATATGAAAATAAATATGAAATTTTAATTAGCAAAAAAGCGAAAACTGAAATTTGTATATTGATGTCTCAATGTTATCCAAACTACAATCAGATGAAGTTAACCGAAAAAATTTATGAAAAACTTTAAAAAGAAATGAAATAAGACAGGTAGACAAAAAGGGAGATTTATAAATCGTTACAAGAAATGGTTAAATATGGAATTTACTGTAAATGAACTTCAACAGCAAGTTAGGATAAACCATTAACAACGAGGTGCACCATCAAAATCATTTGAAGATCTCTCAACAAGGTCTAAAAAGAAGATCTTCAGAGATTACTGAAAAGTTAGGAGTTACTACTGAAAGCCTATTTCATGCCCTTATTCTTAATCTAAATAAAGAAGGACAAAATAAAGACGTCAAAGTTTTAAAACATATGATGGAAAGTAAAGTTGATGGATCCTGCAATGTATCATGCTCTAAAGTCTACTCAGCTGAAGAAGCTTTAGCTTTAATGTTAGACTGTAGAATGAGTAGGGCTGACTATCAAACTATCCGTCAAGGAGCTTTAGATAAAGGTTGCATGTTATACCCTGCCTACAACTTTATTGTGAAATCTAAAAGTGATTGTATTCCAGATTCCGGAATTGTTACCACAAACTACAGTGCTTCTGTAAATCTTAAAGGAATAATGGATCACACTACAAACAGGATTTTGAAAGTTATTGATAAATCAAAACTACCTGATCCTTGCAATACTCTTCTTCTTATAAGCAAAGTTGGATTTGATGATTCAACTGGACAGTCTGTTTATAAACAGAGAACTAAAGATGAAGAGGACAGTTTGTCAGTCTCAGTTAAAGAACCTTTGTTTCTTTCATGTACAGTACCTGTGCAACTTAAAGTTCAGGAAACTAATGTTATTCTTTGGACTAACCCTAAAACATCCTCAACCCAATATTTTCGCCCTGTTTGAATGCTATACCTTAAAGAAAATCAGCAAATTGTTAAAGCAGAATATAATTTTTTTATGTCAACTGAACTCAGAATAACAACCATTGACTTATTTCAAGTCAAGCACAAGTTAGAATGTACTATGATTGATGGAAATGTTTCCACTCTTCTTTCTCCATTAACTGATTCTTATCAAGTTTGCAATATATGTGGATTAAATCCTCAAAAAATGAATGACTTTGTTATTGCTTATAATAAACAACCTAATCAGATGTCTTTAAACCTGGTAATCCACACTCTCCATCTCTGGATTTGTTATTTTGAATGTCTGCTACATATTGGACAGAGAAGAAGACCAGGGTACAATGATTGTGGATTTATAGTTGCAAGTAGAATAAAAGAAATTCAGGAAAAAATTAAAGATACACTTGGACTTGTTGTTGATGTACCAAGAAATGGTGGCTCTGGTACATCCAATCATGGAAACACAGCAAGAAGGGCATTTAGAACCCATGAAATTTTTGCTGAAATACTTGGAATTGATAAGGGTCTTGTTAAAAGATTTCATTATCCTTTGTGTGTTATCCTGTAAACACCCAATTGATCCAGATAAACTAGAATTATATTGCAAAGAAACATTTAAGATATATTTAGCACATTTTAAATAGTATCCTTTGCCTGTTGGAGTTCACAAGATGATTGTGATTGTACATTTACATCAGGTTGTAAGAGACAAGCCAGTTCCAATTGGCCTCTTATCTGAAGAATCCCAGGAAAGTAGAAATAAAGAGGTTAAATATTTTCGAGAACATTTTACAAGAAAATTTTCTAGAAAACTTACAAATGAAGATGTAATGAAAAGATTGCTCTGCACATCAGACCCCTTAATCACTTCTATGAAGCAAAGTTCTGAATCAAAAAAGGAACTTGAACTTCCAGTAGAATGTTTAGACCATCTTTTGTAACTTTCTAAATAATATTATATTCTTTATATCAAACTAATTGAATAATTGATAGTATGTGTCCTAAATATATTTACTTTATTTTAAGAAATCTATAAAGCTGCATTTTTAAAATATCACCTTTTTTCTAGAAGTATGTACACATGTTTAAACATGTTTCATTGATTTTTTTTAAAAACTCAAACCCTTTATAATTATATATTTTTAAATTGCTCAGTTTATTAAAAAAAAATTTTAATATAGAAATATTGAAGAATGATTATTTTTATTTATAATCTTGGTTTAAAACCAATATTGCACGTTCTTTTTAAGTTGTTGTATGTTCTTACTGTGCTACCATATGCACAGATTATTCATGTCTAGGTATTTACAAATTATGCGTACTTGATGATTTTGTTTATTAATCAACCAGGAAGTCAAACTATTATAATACTACATTTTGTTAGTATTATGGAAATAAATTTTAACATCTAAATATAAGTACAAATGCAAAAGGCATGTTGCATGTTATGTCATGTGTCCTTGGTGTGTTATTTTAGAGCATTTATTCTATACACTAATTTTCATAAATGTACCATAAATCTTGGAAATTATTTTAATTCTTTATATATTCTTGTTGTGGTTACTTTTTGTCCTTGGCACCTGTCATTGGTGTTGTTCTTGGTGTGATTCTCTGTATGTTTTTGTAATCCATCAAGATGTTATAAATATGAAGTTTGTCCTCTAGAAAATATTTAGTTAAAAGGTATTCATAATTCTGTTAAAATAAGTTAAATGGAAGTTTTATTATGCTATGTGTTTTTGGTGTTCTGCACAGGTATGATACTTATTCAATCAAACAATGTATCAAACATTCTGGTGACTGTTTATAGTCAATAGAAAGTTGAAAATTATTATGAAATACCTGTCACATGTTTATTATTCGTTTTGCAATTTGTCCTTGGTTTTGTGTTATTGGCGTGTCCTTCAGAGGTATATAAAGCAACATTACAATAACAGTTATTGTTGGCCAGAGTATAATGAACATTCAATAAAAATTTTAGCTTATTATCTTCAAAATTGATAAAGATATGGTTTTTGCCTCAAAAGTTGCATTTCTGAACCACTGTGCATTGCCAAACCCTGCAGAAAAAGAAGTAACTCAAAATATAGAACCGATAACATCACCTTCAGCCAAAAGAAGAAAAGTTATTAAATGTAGAAAATGTAAAAAAGAATTACATTTGGACATAATGTCATGCGCGAGAATCCAAATTGCAATACTTGGTTCTGCAACAAAATATGTTTGCCAAAAAAATTGGTAATTGGTTCTTTGTTGTAAAAAATGTAAAACTTTGTTTTACATTTTGTGATAAAATGTAAAATAAAGTTTTACATTTAATCAAAAAATGTAAAACTGTTATCTTTTATTATTTCTGTATGCTATATAAAAAATGTATAGCATATCTCTGTATGCTATATAAAAATATATACATTTAGATATTTAAATGTTAAATTTATTAAATGTATTTTATATTGATTGGTTTCAACAGAATTTCTGCCAAAAACGGTCCTTTTTTTTTCTTTTGGTTTTCATACTTTCAAATATAATTAAAAAAAAATCTAATAAATAATGTGCTTTTTGATATTTTTTATCTTTTTTAAAAAAATAGTTTAAAATTTTTTAAAAATTATTTATTTTTAAAAAATTATTAAGGTGTTTGATTTTTATTGTTCGGTGACCGGTTTGACCCGCTTTTACTCTATATGACGCAGTTTAAAATTAATTGGCCAGGAATTAGTGGCTTTTTATCTTATTTTAACAGTATTTGATATTTTTTAATAAATTCAATTTAGGAATATCTGTGAATGACGAAATTCTAACAAAAGCAAACCCCTTATTTATAATAAACAACAAAACGAACGTGAGGTATCGTATATAAAATAAATGTTTTATAAACTTGAAATATTTGTATAGAACAACAATATACTGGTTGCTTTATTTTTTACAGTTTGGCTGTACCCGTGACTGATACAAGAGTTCAATATAAACGTCCGGTAACAGTTATCGAGGCTTCTCATATTGTTAAAAATATTGTTTGAAACCATTCAAAAAAAAAAAAAAATTACATTTCGGAAAACGTTTTTAGAATAAAAATGCTGCAATTATAA